CCTGCTGCCACGGGACCGAGTTTTGCTGAGAAGTAAGCAGTGGGTCTCAGTGGCCCTCCGTGAGGCTGCAAAAGTACCGACACCATGCACCCACATCGCTCATCCACGGTCTGAGTGAATGGCCGTTGGGTCAGGGAGACCTAGTGTGTGTGTGTAGATTTGCTGTTCCGTTCCTCTCCAGTTGCTTTTCTCCCGGATCGTCCTCAATTCATATTGTGGGCTTTTGTGCCAAAGTGGAGGCTCATTTCCTCCTGATCCATACTACTGTCATCCCTGGAGCAGGGGTAGTTTATCTCTCATCTGAAAAAGAAATATCAGAACACAAAACACACAAAAAAAATGCCCACTTTCGCTTGTCAATCTTTTTTCCAATTGGGCAAAACATAACTGCATTGACAGGTGGTGTGTGGCATCAGGGCGGAGGCTGTAGCCAAATACAGAACAACAAAATGTATGTTTCTAATTTTATACTCCCCTAAATGTGAGTTTACAAACCAAAGTTGTCCTCCGCCCAATGACCGCTCACTGCGGTTGGACCGAATCACTGTCAGGGCAAACAGCAGAGGGAGGAACTCCCAATATCTTCAGCGAGGTATTTCATCTCCGAGTACTTTCCGCAGAGTACTTTTCTCAGAGTACTCATCCCAGAGTACTCTCACTTTTACACCTGTTCAATAAAGGTCGTTATCTTTGAATCTCTAGTACTTACACCGTATGCTGTTGACAAAAAAGAATTATTCCATGATCACATTAAAACATTACAGACACATTTGTTATTCCATGATTCCGTTCAGCATTCCTCATTTCACTCCACACTCACATCACACTCATATCACAGTCACATCACAGGCCGATTCCCCACGTTAGTATTGGTCCAGAGTTTGTTAAGGTCAGCGTAGTGTACTTTGACATGACACACAAACATATAACATACACAAAACATATAACACACAAACATGTAACACACACAGAAGGCCTGTAATTTTAACTTTGTTATATTTTCCATGTCCAATTACAATTGTCTCATGAGCTCTTCCTATTGTTGCAACTTTCAGAGCCTGCAGAACATGCAAAGCTTTTTAAGAGATTTTTCCTAAAAAAAAAAAAAAAAAAAATCCATTTCCAACTTTAGTGTTTACCACGTGGTCTGTATTTCGGGCTTATCACAGATTGTGTCCCCTATATCTCTAATGAGCTCTTGTCACGAAAATGTAGCTTAACGGTTTTATAATAACTTCACTTACAATGACACTATGCACCTTTCAAATAACTTAAATCACACAAACAAGGCCCATCGCAAATATATCAATCCTATTAAACACATGCATTATTTACATGAAATATCACATTTTTAAAAACTGATGACTCAAAATAGAAATGTTGTAACAGACAGTATTTTCCAAAAGCCTCCTCGGGTTTTCATGCTTGTTCTTCCAACTGTGCCTGAGTAACTGTGCTGTAGTACAACGCTCGGTCCAGCTGGTGGCGCTAATACTAACTTCAGTGGCTCCCGCATTGTGCGAGCTTCCTGTTTACATTCTGATGCTGTAGCTAACAGCTACTGTAGCAGCTACTGTAGCTAACAGCTACTGTAGCAGCTACTGTAGCTAACAGCTAGCGGGGAACACATTGTTTGTATCAGAGCAATGAGAGACGTGTCTTTCCCCAAAGTGCAGCGGCTCAGTGGGACACGAGTGTGTGTTCTGGCGATTTAAATAAAGCCTGATTCTTGACCGTTTGAAGTGTTATTGCAACAGCACCAACTGTGAGAGCGCGCATCAGGCCAGAGGGAGCCTGTTAGCATTAGGTTAGCTTCAAAATGACTGTTCAACACCATAGACCCGCGGTTAGCGCGTTAGCGCTGTAGTTCTGCGATGGAGAAAATAAAAAATCGAATTTTAAAAGAAAAGAAATTGCCCTAAATGTAAAACTCGAATTAATGATTAAAATCGATTAATTGCCCAGCCCTAACTGAAGCCATGAGTTTTGTGAAGCGACCACTCACTTGAGAACGGACCAAAATCTGTCACCTTGTGTTTTGTTTTTAAACACAGGATTTGTTGTAATCATCCAGAATTTTAACTGTTACACCACAGATTGTTAGCGTATATTACGGGAATTCAGCATGAATTATCTCTAAAAAGTGCCAATTGCAATTTGTTCTTGTTCAAACTTACATGAGCGGTCGCTTTGGTGACGAATGTGAACCCGGGTTTGGTCAGTCGCTCGTGTTTCCTCCGTGCCCGCCTCTGCCGTCCTCTGGCCCCGTGTGAGCTTGAGAGGCCCTCTGCCTTTAACGCCTCCTCCGGTAACAGTCCTTCGACCCATGTCGAGCACACAGTCTTTCCGCCGGGCTGTGGAAGTTTTTCAAAGTCCGCAGGAGGCCCAGGTAGCCCAAAGCGTTAGCATGTGGTCCATGAGGGTTGGTGAATAACCCAAACGTGCCGGTACTTTTGGCTTCTTCTGTTTGCGGTGCGGGAACAACTTTCAAGGGGGTTTCCGCGGGTGCGTTTGGTATATCACGCTGCCCCCTCCGTGGAGAACAGTCACGGGATTTGGAGCAGTTTCTCTCTGTGCTCCAGAGCAGTTGTCGGTGTCTCACATATTTGCTTCCCCCGCTTCTTCTTCTGTGGTTTCCTGAGCGTGTGTCTGTTTCCGCCTCTTCTTCTTCTGCGGTTTGGGCCCACTTCTCGCGGGGTCTCAGCTGGTGCGGGCGCCGCCTGTGGTTGGGGCGTGGGGCTGGTGCTTTGAGGCAGAGGACAGAGCGCGGAGGAAAGGCGCCGACAGACCTGTAATAAGGGAGAGGGAAAAGAGACAACAGTAGTCTGCTTCATTTTTTAAAAACCCAACGCCTTGTTTGGGCGCGTACTTAGCATGGAGTTCTGCTCCTAGTGTGAAAGGGTTAGTAGGTGAGAGAGGGCGGTAGGGTGGGGGTGTGGGGGTGTGGGGGATGTGTGTGTGTGTGTGTGTGTCCGCCTGTGTGTTCTCCGCTTCGGTGAAAGGCGGAGGAGCTATTGTTTTTACATATTTCTTTCTCTAACCTCTTTTGCCGTGATATTCTTAAAACCAAGTATATTTTTTCTTCCCTTCTTCTTCTAAATTATCACGCAAGATGCGTAATGGCCTGCACCATAGGCAAGCACTTCATAGCTTGCATCTGTAGATTGATTTTACCCATTTTCTCGTACGAACAATGGGCCTAACCCGCTTAGTCTCTTCCCTGCTCCTACCCACTTTGGGGCGCTCCGTTCCCCCCCCCGCTGGTTCAACCAGCGAGCGCGCGTTCTTGAAAACGGAGCGGTTCTGGCTGAAGACACTCAGAGATTCCAGGGTCGCTTACAGTGCGATACTAACGCGCAGCCGCTAGCTTCAATCTAGAACAAAAGCCCCCAAAAAATCCCGCACACAGACTATGCTGTGGCAATGAATGAAATACCCCAAAAATACATAAATAAACAAATCCCCGTGTCGACTTAAGGGCTGCCCTGGGCTCGTTACGCAGATGAAAAGACAAGACTCACCAGATTAGGTTCTTTTTGGTCTTGTGTGGCAAAAGGATTCCTTCCGTGCGCGGGACGAGCGCGCCCTCCTTTGTCTCCAAAAAGGAACAGAGGCTGGTGATCCAGGTCGGCCAAACAAAGCCGCTCGTCCCCGCCGAAAGTATCCATGCCAAGACATGTCAGCAACGCCAAATTGTTATAGAATTATATACCCCATGAAGGAGAAAACTCAAAGGTCCTTTGTCTGATCAAAAGCGTAAGTTTATTGTTAACGCACGTGCGGAGAGCCAGCACATCCACTCAAAGGCAGCATGTCCCAGCTCTGGGGGCCAGAGCCCCGAGCTTCCTGTATACAAGACACACACGAAAGCCAGTCCCGCCCACAACAGATGGGAGGGGGGCCACCGGTGCAGGAGGCGCATAGGGATGCAAACAGACTGCAGGATGTAGGAAGTGCACACATACAGACCGATACATATGCAAGAGTGATCGCCATTGTCTGTAGGTGTCGGGGGGGGCCCGGCTCCTTCCTGGCAGCAGGGACATATGGATAGGAGCAGGCATACCGATTCAAGATACGAAAGACACAAGGGTGTGACAGACAGCAGGGGGCCCTCACAAAGCTCAGCATGGCGTCAGAAGGGCGTCTCTGCATTGATAAAAGGCCTTTGACGTCCGTGTATTTGCTGCGGCTGGTTTTATGTAATTACTCCAAAAACTGTCACCACAGGCCTTACCTTCAAATTCACTATCATGATTTAAAATGTGAACTGATAATGATCTCCACACAGTGTTGGGTAGAACACTTTGAAAATGTTTTTCGTTCCAGAATTCTGAATACATGACCTAAAATGTATTTTGTTACTTTGGAAAAGGTAAAACCTGTATTTCAGGTACTTAGAATACTTTTACCTTTACCTTGGACTCTTTTTTTGGTAAATTAATATTTATTTACACAACTTCTAAAAGGTACATTTTTAAAATCATAACCTCAATAAATGTTTAAATAATCAAAACAAGTTTGTAAAACAAGTGCTGCGATTTAACAACCAGACCAACCACTTCATTCTAAATACTAGACTTACTAGAGGGGCGGCACTCTCGCTTCTCAGCAAGAACGTCTTGGGTTCGAATCCGGGTCGGAACAGGGGCCTTTCTGAGTAAAGTTTACATGTTCTCCCCGTGCCTGCGTAGGTTTCCTCCGGGTTTCTCCTACCACAAAAAAAAATTGCAATAGGTCTGGAGGGATTGAATGGAGGGTGTTGGTCGGAGGCTTTGATGCGTGTTCGGTGTGTTCAGTGTGTTCAGTGTGTTCGGCGTCTCGCTTCCATCATCTTCATGTGTGAATGGAAACTGATTTCTGAAAATTGTAAAGCACTTTGGGTGACCTTGGTCTGTAAAACATTACTTACTTTAATGTAGTACTCAGAAAAAAAGTATTCTGAATCCGTCAGTATTCTGTTACTCCCCAGCACTCACAGGTTTCTGTTTCTGTTGCAGGTGAGAACTGTCGCAGCTTCATTTACGTGGCTCCAGAAAACGAACGAGGTGAGGGTAAAAGGCAATAATACACTGCTTAAAACAAGTCTGGTGAGTGAATGGTTGGTGGTGGTCGGATGGGCTGATGGCACATACGGATTGCCTCGCTTTGGTCAGTGTGCCCCAGGGCAGCTGTGGCTACATTCGTAGTTTGTCACCGCTGTGTACAAAGTGAAAGAATAATGCCATGTTATGCGTAAACAGACAAATGCATGCTTGGCTTTTAATAAACCCGTGCTGTGGGTTTAAAGTAGGGGTGGGAACCTAAGGGTACCTCACGATACGATACCATACACAATACAAAGCTCACGATAATGATATCACAATAACGATTTTATCACAATATGACGATTATCAATATATTGGTCAGAAATCGATATCGATACTTGGCAAATGCATATCGATAATCGAATCGCGGAAGAAAGTCCTTCGTGTAAACAATCAAAGTGTGTTGATTGTTTACACGAAGGACTTCAAAATTGGGCTGTGCGATATGGCTGAAAACTATATCACAATATAAGTGATTCATCTCGGTCGATAACGATAACAAGACTCACAGAAAATTGTGTGCTATGACTATGAAATATACTACTTTCAGCAGCAAAAAGAAGTTTGTTTTTAGCTTGTTTTGTTTTCCTGTGATCTCCTGTCGAAAAGAGGAGTGTGACAAAAAGCACCAGTCTTAGACAAAAGTCAGAGAAAATGAGGTATTTGTGAAAACAGACAAACCTGCAGAAACAGACTGTAACACTATTTAGTTTAACTTTAGCATCTCCTCAAACATGTCCAGGATCTTACATGTTAGAAAACAGCAACAACAAGTTATGAGAAAGTGTTTTTGATGCAAAATAATATGTTTTATGGCACACACACCCACATCTAAAAAGTGTTGTTCGAATATTTCAAAATGTACTCATCTAAAAATGTCAAAATGTACATATTGAAAGTAGAGCCCATGACAAACTATGCCAGAAAGAATGGCCAGTATTCATCCATTAGGTGGCACTATATTCATGTCAATAAAAGTAAATCAGAGATAAGAAAAAATACAATGATAAACACTATAAATGACAATAAATCAAAATGAACAGACAATATACTTATACTATAAGTGCAATAGAATACTGTTGTGTGTCTTTGTGTGTTTGGGCGCGCATGAATGTGCGTTTATGTGCGCGTTTGTGTGTGTTTGTGTGGTTACATCTACAGAGTGTCGTTCTGTTTAGTCCAGCGAGCGCTGTGACCAAAACTGGACTTTGCCGCTGGCTCCTGGTGCGGACTCAGTGATAGTTTTAGCAATAGTCCACTTTTCTGTGGTTTTTTTGGGGTGCACTGCTGGTCTGCTGCTATGACCCTCCACATGGTCTGCTGCTCTGACCCTCCACATGGTCTGCTGCTATGACCCTCCACATGGTCTGCTGCTCTGACCCTCCACATGGTCTGCTGCTATGACCCTCCACATGGTCTGCTGCTCTGACCCTCCACATGGTCTGTGTCAGCTCTGGAGACACATTTACTGCTCAAACTGCCTCCAAATGTAGCCTGACCCTGACTATATTACTCCATGCCTGCTTCACCTCTGTCTCTCCTGCTCAGAGTGCAGAGACAGTGATCTTTGACCAAGACACCCACAGAGTTCTGCTGCCACCTGCTGGCTTAATAAAATACTGTCTGCAGCCAAACCCCAGACATATTGACCAGATGCATCAACGTCATCCAGTCACGTGATTGTGAATGAGCTTACGGCGGAAGTATTGGAAACTAGCATTGCTGCGAGAGCAAAACGGACACAACTCTTAAAAACGGAGCTTCCTCTCCTAAATCGAGAAGTGGCTGCTTCAAGCACTTGTTCGATTACGTTATAGGTGGAAGTAGGACATCAGGTCAGGGCTCACAAAGAGTGGTATTTGGAGAAGTTAAGGATCGCCAAACTGGATGTTGACCCGTACCTTCTCCCCACAGTCAATTTTATCAATTAAATAAAATGTCTATTTTTGCCCAAATTCACCCTACATGATCTTTATCATTATTGTTAACAATGCATCCCCTCACACTGGAGCAGATTTATATGTACATTTTGCTGGTAGCATTAGCAATAGTCCACTTTTCTGTGGCTTTTCTGTCTACAGCCAAACATGATACGTACTGACGGAGAGGAAAATAGTGAAACACGCAACTGACTTAAAAGATAAAAATGTCAATGTTGCAGCGCACATACAGGACAGTAGTAAGAGACACGTTTGACGTGTGCCATTGTCCTCCAAATTAATGGAAATAAAATAAATAAAAACTTGTGATTGCTTTATCTTGTAAAAAGTGTTCCCTGCATATTAGGGAGTACTTGGATGGGTCCCAGTCCTTTTGGTTGATTGCCGCTGGCCATCGTCGTCTTCTGTCTTCATGACGAGCAGGTATCAGATAAAAAAGCTTATGTCCTTGCCTGTTAGTATGATCAACCGCACTGCAAAATGTCACAGTTTTGGCTGTAATGCACTGAAACAGGTTGTTTTGGTCAGGTGTCCGTAGGCTCGCAGTTAGACTTCTGCCGTCTGTCATGGAGAATGGGCGTGGCCGGGACGTCACATGCAAGGGGTCAATATGATACAGGGGACACAGAAGGACAGGAAAAGATGGAAAAACAAAGTTGACTTCAATTGAGTTATTAAATACTGTTGTCGTGTCGGCTAACACTTGTTAGCAGCACATATTTAGTCACAGTGAAATGAGAACTCTGGCTGGAGGCATATGTCCACAAGTACAGTTGTCACCATTGTCAGTCCTGGTTTAATTCAGGTTTAGTCCTGGTTGAGCTCCTGTTTTGGACGTTTTCGAGTGTTTTCAGTGTATCTGGCTGTGTCTCTGATAGCTGCACGTGCTTCCAGGTGAAAAAGTTCAGCTCTTGCTTTTGCAGCATGCATCAGGTCTCTGTACCCACTGCCTCTGCCGCGCCACACTTGCTGTTCCTCGCACGGACGTGCATTGACATGGTCCGCTTGTGATTGTGGGTTTTTCTTTTTTTTTTCATTTTACAGAATGCTTTACGGTTCATGCTCTGCCGTGATAGGTCGAGAAGCCTCTGCCCAGAATGCAGCGTGCTTCTGACTCGGCTTTACTTTTTGTTTTTTCTAACGGAGTGAAGTTAAACTATGGAACATTCTATCGACCCCATTTTCTATTGATATCGAACACGTGTCTCTCGCGATATATATATCGTTACTGTTTTATCGCCCAGACCTACTTCAAGTAAAGTTTTGAACATGAACTAGGGGTGAGCGATATGGCCTAAAATTAATATTGCGGTATAATTTGGGACACAGACGGTAGGCGGTATAATTTGGTGTGTGAATTTCAAAAGTCTTGCAGGTTCTTGCGACATATTGAGTTTGAAAATCAGGTGTGTCCAGTCTCCACAAACAAAATCACCAGTAATTCATCCAGTAATTAATACATTTTAGCATATAATATTATTCCATATTAAAAAGACACCATGCTTTTGAAATGCAGATTGAACTGAAGACCCTGAGTAGGATTGCAAACTTGAGAACAGAAAAATAAGGGACACGATTTGGGTGGATCCGGTTGAGCACTTTTTAGTCCTAATTTCAATCTACACAGAAATCATGGAATTTCATAATCAGTTTTTAGAACTTGACTACATATAAAAAAAACAAATCCTTAGTCAAATATGAAATTAAATAAACAGGTGGAACTCTCAGGGGTGACAGTGGCCCACAACAGTCAAGCCTGAAGGGCCACTGTCGTCTCACACAATAATGCTAAAATAATAAATGGCAGAGATAAACTATACCCCTCATTGTTTAAGCATCTACCTCCTTCGATCGCGAAGGCAGGGCGGGTAGCGCGCATGATATATCCAAGTTCATGCGCAACTTGTACACTCGAGCTTCTTTTCATTCTCCGCTGGACACGCATCCTACCATTGACGCACCATGGTAGTTCTTTTTCATAGCATTTGTTTCGATGACTCATTATCGACTTTTACCCCAGCCCAGAGTGGCTCGCAGTGGTGATGTTGGAACCTCCTTATAACTACATTTCAATCACCTCTTCTTGCGTCACTTAGCCAAGTTACCGCAGCTCCAGCGTCTATAACGGCTAACTCAACTGTTCAAGGTCAGAACAAACCACTAGCTAACCAAGGTAGGAGCTAACATTGGGCACAGGACGGTTTAGTCTGTGTTGACAAACTTTTTGAGTTTACTTGCTAGCTACACTACACGTGTTAGCCCTCTCCCACCACAGAGATTCTAATCAATAGCATCCAGCGCTGCAATTATAGAAGATCTCTTGCAATGTCTCACACCAGGTCTGCTCGCCGTGTCTGAGGCTGGAACATGCTCGGCCCGCAGTAGAGAACCCTGGTTCGTGCCCTGAAGAGGCAGGTGTTGGACATTGTAACGGTCAGTTAGGTTTTAGCTTTTCACCTGAAGACTGCCACCCCACGTTACAACATGCACCCTGCCATTACAGTCAGGGGCGACAGTGGCTCAGTCGGTAGAGCATTGGCCTTTGAGTCTGGAGGTTGCAGGTTCGAGCCCACTAGAGGAGTCCACCGACTCTCACTGATGTCTGCTGTCGTTGTGTCCTTGGGCAAGACATTTAACCTCTGGGAACACCAGGTGACACAGTGGGGCGGCTGCCAATGGCACATACTGGTTGCCTCACTTCTGTCAGTGTGGCCCAGGGCAGCTTTGGTTACAGTAGTAGTTGGAACCAAGTCCAATTATAGACCAGAGTTTATCTCATTTTATTTTATTCTTATCTTAATTTTACTGTCTATGAGACTGTCTATGAGACTTATTTGATGTGTGCAATCTTAGTGCTCTTATTTCCTCTCTCTGCTGTAATGTGCGCAACGATGACATTGAAATTTCTTCACTGTGAGACTAATAAAGGGTTATCTTATCTTATGTAGTTATAATGAGGTTCCAACATCACCACTGTGTATGGAGTGAATGAATAATGACATGTGAAGCGTCTTTGAGTGT